AACCCACACACATCTCCACCCCAACCCACACACATTCTCCACCCCAACCCACACACACATTCTCCACCCCCAACCCACACACATTCTCCACCCCCAACCCACACATTCTCCACCCCCAACCCACATACATTCTTCACCCCCAACCCACATACATTCTCCACCCCCAACCCTCACACATCCCATCCACACATACTCCACCCATCCCACCCACACACATTCCCTCCTCCACCCATCAACACACTCCACCGTTTTCTCTTAATATACATTTTCTCGATGATTTTTGTTATGAATAAAATACTCCTGAAACTGTAGGGACCAGAGACAAGATTGATAATGAAACTATATAACAGGACAGAAGATAACGATCGTGGGAAGACAGTTTCATAATCATAGAAAATTTGAGTTTTAAGCAACTATCTGTGCATACTATCTGGGAAACAATATGAGACCATGAACAATAAATTTTGGTATATGAGGGCTGTCACTAGTCACGTAAAATTTCGGAGCATATCGACCCCCACCAGCACAGATAGTTGTTTTAGCTATTGTACTCTTGGTTGTAAATGCTTAAGCCCTACTTGGTTTAATCGTAAATAGTCAAAATTCTCTTAACAGTTTTGAAAAAAAAATAAGTGTTTCTAGACAATAATTTTAAGACAGTTTTAAGAAATGACTTGTCAATACTGTATAATTTTCCTTTTCTTGGAATCTCAAAAGTTTTTATCACTGCTTATAAAAAAAAGTCCATCCATTAGTGTTGTTCTAACATGGAAATTATATGATTAGGTTTGGTTATGCTATGTTACAGTAAGTTTGGTTTGGTTAGGTTACTGTAGGTTAGGTTAGGCTACAGTAGGTTTTGTTAGATTACAGTAGGTTTGGTTACATTAAAATTAAAAAGATAAGTTTAACAGTTGACTTAAAAGCTTAGTCACAGCACATGGACAGGGAAGGATGGTGTTTATGGCTGGTAAAATCATGCCATAGGGTTTCGTACACGTCCTCTGTTCTCTCAACAAAGAATGGCGAGGCAAACTGAATGTCAAATAGATTAATATTAACAAAAAGCATCAGTGTCATACTCACCAGTAATAATAGTAAATGTAATTGCCGCCAACGTAAAGGCTTCGTGGTGTGGCCTGGCATCCATATAGTCAATAACATGTAAATTATGGCTTTTGCAAATTTGAAAACCCCTTTTTTCATGTAATACTAGTCATACTAGGCTTATACTGTATTATCAAAAATTGAACCAGAATTGAATATTGCAAGTATTTTTAGCAATTTTGGTTTAGGGCATGATGGCAGGCATAGTACAGTTCCATATTCAGTACAGGTACAGTAGTTATGATTATCACCCAATTATGTATTTGTCCTTTTATTAATGTTTTTATCTCATGAACGTACTGTACAGGGAATAACCTTTATACAGTACTGTAATCAGATAATCCTTTGTTTTATGTCCTGTAATGACTTTATATTATTGTACCAGTCATTTCTACTGTAAGGTTTATATAGGATTTGAGAGTTTCCAAAATGCAGCATTTCTATTAAAGTATATCACATCCTATAGTGCACATGGTCAAACAAAACTCCTACTTTCCACACTATGGGTCATGGGGTGAAGCTAATGATGGCAACACTATGGGTCATGGGGTGAAGCTGATGATGGCAACACTATGGGTCATGGGGTGAAGCTAATGATGGCAACACTAGGGTCATGGGGTGAAACTGATGATGGCAACACTAGGGTCATGGGGTGAAACTGATGATGGCAACACTAGGGTCATGGGGTGAAGCTGATGATGGCAACACTATGGGTCATGGGTGAAGCTGATGATGGCAACACTAGGTCATGGGGTGAAACTGATGATGGCAACACTATGGGTCATGGGTGAATGATGATGGCAACACTATGGATGGCAACACTGGGTCATGGGGTGAAGCTGATGATGGCAACACTATGGGTCATGGGGTGAAGCTAATGATGGCAACACTAGGGTCATGGGGTGAAACTGATGATGGCAACACTAGGGTCATGGGGTGAAACTGATGATGGCAACACTATGGGTCATGGGGTGAAGCTAATGATGGCAACACTAGGGTCATGGGGTGAAGCTAATGATGGCAACACTATGGGTCATGGGGTGAAACTGATGATGGCAACAGGTTCATGGGGTGAAGCTGATGATGGGAACACTATGGGTCATGGGATAAAGCTGATGATGTCAACACTATGGGTCATGCATGGGGTGAAGCTGATGATGATAACACTATGGGTCATGGGCTTTAGTTTCTAACTATACCCGTACAGTGAATTGCCTGTACACCACTTGATTTTATATCAGATGGAATAGTTTACAGGGTGTCCCCACTTTATTTTTCTCTCAATAATTGTAACTACCAACTTTAATTACAATTGTTAGATTGATTTATAGCTTGGTGTTGGTCAAAGGAGTTTTGTGTATTCAATTAAGTGTACAGGTTGCATTCCAGGCAAACCTTTGATATTATTGGCTGGCACTAATTAAACAATTAATGCAACTCTTGCTGCAACCTTAGCCATCAGAGAGAGGTGAGAGATGCTGGTGTACCATATAATGCTAAGAGCAAAGTTAGTCTTGGTCTTAAAGCATCTTGTGCACACACACCTCTCTTTGTTGGCCATCAGCCATACTGGATTTCCAGTGCTGCATCAGGTCATAGTTCAGTTGTCTCATTGCTTAGACCTGGTTGTTCTCAGGATAGATATTCTTCATAACTGACATAAGTTTTGTTTATGCCTAATACAGTACAGTACTGTATTTAGCTCTTTGGGATATGTAGACTGTGTCACACAGCTGCATTATTTATAGTGGATGGTGATTTCTTGCCTTCATTTGGTTTGGGTTTCAAGAGTTATTTTAATTGTGTTGGTTAGTGTTTGTTTAAAGTCATAAATTTTTAATTGGTGCAAGTACAAGTCAAGCAGAGTGGTAATTACTCGAGGTTTTCCAAAGGTTTATAAATTTACTCAGACCCATTATTATAGTCTCTAGTTTAGGCAAGAAAAGTTACCTAGATAAATTGGAAGGTTGGTTAATGGCTGAGATACTGTAATACTGGTATTACAGGTACAGTATATGTAATACAATACTTGTATACAGTATAGTCTTCATTTACGCGGTCAATTGAACCCGTGGAGGTCCGCGTAAAACGAGAAACGGTTAAACAAAATAACAGAACATATGGGATTAATTGAAATAAAAACTGGGCCGACCCCCAAACTACACTTTTTCCGACACAATATGTACGTTGTAGTAAAAATAACATCTTAATTTTATGATGGTATGCACACGCAATTAATATTTAAGAGAAATATCAATAATATTAGGTTTTTTAACACTTACGTTTGTAGAAAAGATGGCTGGGCACACGGGGATGGGGGGTTGGTTCTGAGGCAGAGGGCAGATTATTGGCCCTCACCTGTATCAATTGTATCACTATCCAACACAGAGGCTTGCAGGGCCTGTTTGTCAAACCCCTCAAAGTCCATATAATCACTATCACTATCACTGACTTGGGCTGGCTGTGGTGGGTGGCGGGTGAAGAACTCGGTAATGTTTTGTTGACTGGGCGACCTTGTGCGCATCCTGCCCGCGCCGCTTCCCGCGTAAATGAAGGAATGAACCGTGTAAATAAAAATTGTCGGTGTGGCAAGGTGCCGCGTAAATGACCAAACGCGTAAACCAAATCCGCGTAAATCGAGACTATACTGTACAGATGTACTGTATACAGGGTACAAATATCTTAGTGAAATAGCCATGCTTGATTTGGTGACCTGCTGGTTGGATGTCTTTTTTACTTAAAAGTTGTTGCCATATACAATGTACCCATATACTGTACGAACAAATACATACTGTACTGTATTGGTTGCCAATTGGCAAATAAAAATTTTTATTTAACAAAAAGCATGATTACTGATGGACATTCCAGTGTGTATTTGTCACTGTGTCTTGTTTACATCTTATCAATAAATACTATACTGTAATACAGTACCACACTTAGTGGTGAGCTCAGGCTGTGTGCCTGGAGAAGTGTTAAAACTAAATCATCCCTAAAACTGGTTATTATAACACTGTTCCTAAAGCCATTACACTCACCTCTGGGTGACACATTTTTACGGTACAGTATACTGTATTAGATAATTTATTCAAAGGAATGGTGGTCATGACAGAAGTTTTTATCTCATCTGCATTCTTCAAAATTGTCCTAATTGTTGATGTTCAAAGATATACCCATGTGGACCTGACCCTCACTTGCTTCCAATGATCTTATCACTTAGATTTTTAACACCCAAAGCTATGCTTTTTCTTGACAATTCCTAGCACTATCATTCACAAATCCCCAACAATTTTTAGAGTAATATGTTTAAATTAATGTCCGAAAATAAGTCTTACACGGAGAGAACAATGTGCAATGGTCCTCCTAGACCTCTAGAGTGAAACGGCTCTAAATGGGGCCTCCTCTCCTGTGCTACTTTCCGTAACAACGCCGACTACACAACCAATATAACATAAGCATGGGATAGAGCGTCCTGCTTCACAACTGTTGTCTAAAATTGTTATCTCTGGCATATACTGTACAGTACTCGGACCTTATGCTGCCTCTGATAATTCCTCCACTGTGATCTCATTATATTCCACAACTCTGTTATATTTTAATCTGTCAAATCTTATGATATTTGAAAATATTTATACCCTGTACTACAAATATAGTCAACTAAAATTAGGATTGTTTGTAATTTTGACATATATTAAGTGCTCTGACATTACAAAACCTGTCCTAATTTGATAAGATTGATTGTATTGTGTTAAGAAAACTGGTCTATATGTCTGAAATAATGTAGTATAAATGAATTCAGTTGGTGGTAATTCTGGTGGTATGCTCAGAAGGAGTGTACATAACTAGTTCTATGATCTGATATTTGAAGGTGGTACTTTCTGCACATTTCATTATAGATTGTACCTCAGCAGGAGCGTCGCCATATAGCATGAGTGGAACTCCGGGCCCCATGATGTCTCCGCCACCAGGAGAAGACTCCATGGGTTATGGCATACCAGGAATGAATGGTTCTGGATACTCAGGAGTAGGGGTAAGTGATCATAAATGTCTTAATAATCACTTGCACAGTTTGGCACAGTAACACACACACACAACACCTGCTACCCTTAATGCTTCACACTTCTCACACTTTAATATTTTTTTTTTTTCACAATCAAACATCTCGATTGTGATCATATTTTCAGTACTTTTAAGGTTGTATTTTATGGGATAATGTTTGATGACACATTTAACGTTGCAGGTTCACAAGGTCTTTATAGTCAGTCCTCGAGTACGATGTGGCTTCAGGAATTGCTTCAAGCTGGATGATGGACATATTCACATGTTATTATGTCAATATTTTTTTTTATTATGTGTTATTCTCTTTTCTCCATTATATCTTTATCTCCATCTCCCTTCTCTCAGCCCTACCATCCTTTTGTATACCACTCCTCTCTCTTATGTCTCCTTACTGCTTTACACATCCTACTCTCTCTATCCTTCCCTCACCTTTCCTTCTTTCTTCCTAATCCTTCCAGTTCTCCTTCTCCCTCAGCATCGCTCTCTTTCTCAGCCTTTTTTGTGATATAAATGTTTAGCAGGTAAAAATTTTCAGCATTTGTCTTGTCCCAAATACAGATGTTCTTCCTGGAACTGCTTACCTTGGAATGCCATCACTTGTGACATTGAATTAAGGTTTTACACCAAGCAAAATATGTGAGACCAGCCTTGTAGAGTAATTTTTGTTTCAATATATATATATATATATGTATATATATATATATATATATGTATATATATATATATATATATATATATATATATATATATATATATATATATATATATATATATATATATATATATATATATATATATATATATATATATATATATATATATATATTTGTTTATAAATTCAGCCTCGTATTATTTTCTCGCCAAATTCCATTCGGCTTAAATATTAATTGAATATTCTCTTAAGAAATGGCTTCGTGTCTATGGCACATCAGTAAGTTCAATATAAATAAATTTAGATCATTGTACTGTACAGGTATTGTACATTTGAAACAATGTTTGTAATTCTTCCTACCTGGAGAAATAAGTACCCATACCCCTGTATCAACATCTGTGATGAATAAGGCTTTCACACCTTTATTATCTTCTCCACTTGTTCATCACCAAATTATTTCAATGAATATTTCTGTGCACAGTACAGTAATTTGTCATTACAATCAACAATCTCGGGCACATACATGCATCTGCTACCACTAACCATTTCCGTGACTTCTCCATTATTTTACCCATCAGTAACTCAAATCAAAACCAAACCCATTGTAAGGATAATAAGGAAGTGTGATAGATAAAGGTATATGGTTGGGCGGGGGAGGGGGATAGAACATAAATTTTTGCCACACTTGATACTGTCCTTGAACATCACAATGTCTCAGTAAGATGTGTAACACTGGAAGGTTTGAACATTCCCACAATGTTGCCATATTGTTTTGTGGCTATTTTATTCCTTCTCAGGTGTGTTTTGACTCATAAAACAGTACAGGATGTTAAAAATAAAATGCAATATAAAAAATTATGTGTTCCTAAGGTAAATTGAGAAGACCGTTTACTGATAATGTCAGTTTTACATAACCTTTTGACTAGTTCAGCCTCTATATATTTGATTGACATATGACTTCCATTCAAGTCAATGAAATTAACTGACAGGTATATGATTTCTTACCTACAGTGTTGTTGTTCTCCATATCACTGACTTAATACTATCTGTCATCTGTCTCTTCTCACTGTTTATCTGATTTTGAAGTCTTCCCTCTTTTATCCAGCCTTCATATTGCCATCCTCCTCCTTCATCAAATTCTTCTTCTGCATACCTCCAAATACCACTTCATTCCTCTGTGGCTGATTGAATCTTCTTACCTCTCCGTTTTCTTGATCATTTTACCAGCAACACATTTGAATGATATATTTTGCTGTTACTATCAATTTGTAATTTGTTTGTAATGTATATTTATTTGAGCAGCTAGTTCTGAGTCTCCATCTGAAAGCATCATCATGTGAGGTCGTTGGTTGTTCTCTATCCTCTTTATTTTTTTTATCTTTGGTCACATTCATACTATCAGCACTGCTTCATACCACATCAATCATTCCCAAACTTGTCACTGGTCTTGAAATATTAGAACTTTTGCTGTATCTATTTTATCATATTTCCTTCACTTTCAGACTACATATTACTTTCCCATGTACACTTTCTGAGATTAGTCATTCATTTTACATGTTATAATTCATACAAGTGTTTTTATTTATTTATTTATTTTTTACTTACCTCTTAACCAACTTAACATACAGAAGTGATCAGCAAATATTTACAAAGATCTCCAGTGTGATGATGGTCACCAGTTGAAGTGTTTGGAGATAATTCTGTATGTGCTGTGTTGTGGATGCAGGAAAAAGGAGTGCAGGATATAGGCAGTAAGCCACTAAAGGCTGTGTTTAACTAAAACAAGTTTAGTGTATCTTATTGGCTGTGAACCCAAGTAGGGTGGATGTGTTTAGGTTGTTTTGTTGACGAAGAAAGTTTAGGTCTTGTTTGATCATTACCAGTTAAGCATAAAAACATCACCTCACTTGATGTAAGCTGAGGTTGACTATGACATAGATTTGTTCTTTTACCAGAAACTATACATGACTGAGTTTTGTTGTGATTGATGAACTTTTGCAGTTGTAGATTGAAATCCAGCTTATTTGAAAGATTATATGACTATTGATGAAAGCATAGCTTGTTTGGTCTAGTGAGGGTTGTATGGTTCTGTTGTCAAAGGTGAACCCACTTGCTGCTCTCCCCTTTTCCCCCACATTTATATTGACCCAAGGGTGTTCCTTGCCAGGGCATGGGCTACGACCTCCACCCGGAGTCGCCTGATGTGTAGGCGGCACACATACATCCGCCCACGCCCAGCCCGCCCTCCACCCACACCCTAAAGTTAGTTGATGGTATTTCATGACCCCTGGCTCATATTTTCTCTGAATGTGTTTGACCACAGCAATGAGGGTCAGTGTATAGTGTAGTATAGTTTAGTGCAGTGTTTTTTGGGAGTAACATACATCTCTTGGCTGAGAAGCAGATTAGCCTTGTAAAGAGAAACTTGTACATTGCATGAGCAAGTCAGTAATGTATTAGTATTGCCCTGTACGGTTTACTCCTACAGTTCACTGGCCTGTACGTTGGTAGCTACATTGTAGGATTAACCTACAGCACCATGGGACTCAGGGGCCCTGTGGTGTGGTAGTCTTTATTTTGTTATGGTTCCTCCTTGTAGATATAGTTCCGTCGCATGGCTCTGTGTGCAATCATTTAATTAATGTCTTGTTTGGGTGTTGATATGACACCAATTGATGTACTGTACCTCTCTTCACCAGAAATGCAGATTGCACTCTAAATGCTCTTGTACAGTTGTATTCTCAGCATGTTTATTAGAACTTACCATTATATTGTATTGATCTGCTTAATGTTTGTTTTTAACCTAGTTTTGATTTGATTTTTGTTTTAATACTAACTTATACTGTATAGTAAACATTTCTGGTAATGCATCCATATATTTGCACGACAGGACCCTCGTCAGTTCATTGTCAGTGTTATATGTGGTGTAAAGTAGCTAATGATGCAGTAAAGGTCTGAGCACGTGGACTTTTGCGACTTTTGCAGACACCACTGTGTACAAAATTGCACTAATTTTTGTCTTTACCATTCTTGTTAACTAGCTTAATTTTTTTGTCTGTTTCAGCAGCAATAAGACGCGTGGGCGGTTAGCGGGTTGTGGAGTCCGGGCCGGCGTGGTGGGGTTGCCTGGTGGGCCTTCCACTAATCTTCCCGATGTGGCAATGGCCAACCTGTAGGTGCCAGGCTGCCCTCCCTCGCCCCCACACTACCTCCCGCGGCCCACCCATCCTTCAGACACACAGTGCAGGCCGTGTAACTCCGGCTCACCAGCCACGATCGGGCTGCATGTGGCTCTTTTTGGCCTAACCACTTCGTGGTATGTTGGCCACATGGGCTGCATGTGGCCCACCTCAGGCAACAGTGATCAGAGCTGTCAGCCCAGTGTGCAGGCAGCGGGCCGCCGCCGTGCGCCCTGCAGCTGAGCGGGACCAGCGGGGCCCGCCCAGCCCATAGTATACGAGAGCCGGGGCGGGTAGCCACCCACGGCCGCTCCACACACCACACTGCCGCTGCCCACGCCCACCACTCGCCCATGGGTGACGCTCTCATGACCCATAGCGCTACGCCATCTTGATATCCACTTGTCCACAAAGTTACCCAGCCCCATCCATCCATGGTCACATTTCTGTGAGCACACTCAGTCAGCTTGCACCTCACAACTGGACCAGCATCTGTGTTAAGGGTCCAAGCATGTTCAGATAACTGGAGGAGCTAGTGATGCATTAATCTTCTTGTATACAATATAAAGCAATGTAAATAGGAATGAATGAGAAAATCAGCAGGTAGCAAAGTATGTGTTCTAGGCAGTTTTGAATGTGTGAGACAGAAGGTGCCATGGGAGGTGAAGGTGGGTACACAGTGGTAGTGGACCCTCCCGCTACCAGGGAACCCCAGAACCATGTATACGGTTGGTATGTGATAGTCACACTCGTGTTGCTTATATGTGTAGGCTTTTAATAAAGTTTCTGCTGTTTGAACATTCTTTAAAAAATACACACATGTTCCTCATTGGCGAATGAGCCAAATGTACTTTGCGTCACCCCCCGGCGAGGTGGGCTACAGCGTGATTAGCGGCCCTCCCGCCCCGCGTGACCACCCAGGTTGGTGCGGTCCACCAGGCGGTCCGCGGCGACCCGTACAAGCCTCTGTATCCATGTAGCATAGGAGAGTGTGGCCAGTGAGGCCCGGCTGCCCCCCCGGCCCTGCACACGCTCCACTGGGCGGCCCACCACACCTTGGCGTGGCTAAAGGGCCACAATGCCCAGTGGGCCCCATCCAACCCAGTATACGTACTCTGGACGGCAGCAGCACCAAGATTGGAAAAATGTAATGGTCAGACCGAACTGGCTCTCAAGATGTCTGTTTGTTGTTTCAACGCACATTAATTGGATGTTTCTGTTGTTTTAATTTGTGTTCAATTGTGTTCTGATGGGTTGTGTAATGTGTGTGTGTGTGCTGGTCTCTGACTGGCCTCAGTTACTGTGTTCTTGATGTTGTGGAAGTCGGAGGGTGTGGCCCTCCCTTGTCCATAGAAATCACTTTATGGTCCTGGGCTAGCCACACCTGGCCGAGAGGCGGATGACCACACTTACATCGCCACTTTAGCCAACTCTGGTTGCAGGTGTTGTGATGTAGGTATGGTTGTAGGAAAACAACGGTGTGGCACCTCCCGGCCCATCCGCAGCAAGGCACGGTTGGTTGGGCAGTGTCCTTGTGGCACTGCCTGGTTGATGCAGGGTATTACCTAGGAAAAGAAGAGACCACACAGATGATCTTGTGATACACTGGATAATGAACACTTAAGGACCTGGAACTTTGAAGTAGGTCTATTTTTATATGGATAGATAAGACTTGAAAACTGAAATGAGAAAAAAGATAGATGGTCTTGTGTAATTGTATATTATTAGTATGGATAGAAAATTCTAATAATACTCTTTGCAATCCGTTTAACATTTGGTAATGTTAAGTCCTTTTCCATACGGTTTGTACGGTAGTGTAAGGGCAGCAACGGGTCCAGGTGGTGCATTACTGGTGACCCAAAGGACCCGGGGCTGCCAAGCGCGCATGTTTGTATGGGTAGTGCAGGAGTAGTGCAAGGTAGCTAGACCACAAGTATACAGTGATAATACTGCAGTATACGAAAAACAATGTTCTTCATTGACAAAAGTATAACTACAAAGAATAAGCAGAGTAGCCTGCCCTCTTTTCATGAACTGTTAGCATTATTTTGACTCCTGTAGCCAGCTAAAGGGCCGTCATCTCGTTTCCTGATTTTTCTGAGCTGCTGAGGTGTACCGTAGTTGTCTCCATGTAACTTAAAGCTCTCTTCTGTCTCTTCTCGCTGTTCGCTGTAGTGAATGATGCAAGAATAAACCTCCTGTATTGAATACTTATGAATAACTGTAAACGTACTGCCTAGATGTACTCTCCAATACCGTCCTGTACCAAAATACGTAATTTTCTCACAATTCTTGTAGAGATACTGTGTATTTTTGCTGTGTATTTGTTCCAGTTTTGTAATAGTATATGTAGTACAATCTTGCTACTTTTTCTCCCCTTTAGGACGGTATAGGAAAGACAGCAAAATTGGTGCATTCTTACTTACACATTTTAAGGATATTTTTCATGTAACCAGTTATTGTTTTCATTGTTTAGCCACCTTATTTATGTAGGATGGGTCATTTTGAGGAACCCACCTCATTTCTAAGATTACATTTATTTCATTTTGAGCAAGAGTTGTGTGCTTGTACATTAGAATCTATTGCGGAGGCGAAAGATAAGTGCTACTTATGTTTCCAAGCGCGGCAAACTGGGCAAGTAAAACTGAGTGCAAGGTACATCCCATCACCCATATTCCTGTAGGTAATTTGTTGCCAATTGCCCTGCTCTCTCAGCTACAACCCATTTTCTATGAGGACCGTTTTGTATTATTGTCCATTGCCCACTTTGTCTCCTGCCTGGAAGCATTCCATTCACTCATTTCACTTAGTTATCTTAACCATTCTAACCTCTTTGCTATGTGAGTGTGAAGTACATGTACATTACTGTCTTTTGTATTGTCATGCATAAGTTGCATTGTAAGTATTTTGGCTGCAAGAAAAGCCAGTCCTCATGATGATATTAATTACCATGATGTTTTGTTAGATTCTGCAGTCAGCTGCAGACCTATTTGTGTTTTAAGGTTCATCTGAAAGCTCAAACTAGATTATTTTAGTGTCAGGTACAGGATATTCTTGGTTGCATTTACTAAAATGCTGTAGCCACTACCCGTGACACTGACCCATTCCTGAAACAGGGCAATGACCTAGTGATCGCTCAGTGTCACGGCTGCCCGCCATGGTCCCTCAGTATACCAGCAGGCCAGTGGTTCAGGAGTAGTGCTAACTGCTAACGCTTTGTGAGTAAAATAAAAAAACTAAATTCAAATTTTTAATGAACCTTGTTGTTAGTCTTTGACTGAAAGGTGCGGAGCAGCATGCACTACTCCCCTCCCGTGTGGCCAAAGGCAGGGAGGCCGACCCACTGTGCCAGAGACGAAGAAGCACTGTTTATATGTACTGTAACATACAAACTTTTACTATTAGGTATGAATGTTATCAAATAAATGATTTCAAAGGCTACACTACCTCCATTATCTATCCTTGGGTTATGTTTATGTACTGTATATGTATTTAGAAAATTGTCTCTGAAGTACGTGTTAATTATATTGATACAAGATTAGTTTTGATAAAAAGTATTGTAGACTAATACTGCTACTAATTATGAATACATGAACCAAAGAAAATTTTCCACATGTGGAGTGCTCTTTAACTTTTAAGTATCCTTTTAATTAATATTGGTGTAGAAGCCTTTTAGTATTACTTTCTTTGTTTAAAGGTTATAGTAGGTGAGTGGATGTAGCACAGTACATGTACTTTCCTCCCATCCTAAGGGCTACTGGTTTGAATTTGGGGCACCCACTCCATTTAGCTGTGAATGGGCACTTAACTTTATAATTCGGGAACTGAAAGTAGTCAAGTACAGTACCATACTAACCACATTGCGTCCTACAGTATCAAGCCTTAGTATTCAGTGTTGCATCCATACTGCCCATATCAGGCAAATAGGATTCACTGTTCCTTACATTTAGATAAGTGAATGAATGATTAATTTGAGTATACCAGGGAGTACAGGTATGTATGATAGAAATAAAAAAAAATCTAGCAAAAACAGAGTGTATCAGAAGAGTGGTGTGGGGTTTAAAAAGGAAGTGGATATGTGGGTCAGTGTTTATGTTAAATAATATAAAAGTGAAAGGTTTCTGGAGAAAGGAAAAGAAGTTGCATTTGGTATTTATAGATCTAGAAAAACCATTTGATAGAATAGAGAGAAAATTCAATGCGGGTAGTACTGAAAATGGGTGGGGGGGATAAATAAGAACTGTTGAATCCTGTACAGAGTTTTTATAGAGAGTGAAGTATGGGATGAGGGAACTGACTCATTTAAAGTAAAACTGTAAAGAAATGTATAATGTCACTAGAGTGGATTAATAACTTCGTGCACTGGGTTGTATGAGAAAGTAAATGCAAAATACAGTAAATGAACAGGAGAGTAAAATTTATAGATACAATAATGATATAGGATCTAAATGGGAGAGGAGTCCGATATTATTTAGAAATGACACTGTTCTAGAAGGTGATTTGGAAGAAAGTCACAAATGTTAGTGAATGAATTCAAAAGTGTCTGTCCAAGGAGAAAGTTGATAGTGACTGCGAGCTAAAGTGATGAATTCCGTAAAGGGAGGCAGCCAGTGAGAAACAAGCTTTAGTCTGAAGTGAGAAAGTAGGTGGTTTTAAATATTTACGAGTCAACACTTCAGCAGAAGGAATGATGTGTGAAGAATATGACCAATGTACAGCGGAGGGAAAAAAGTTATAGGTAGACACTGTACCCTCATTAATTCAGATTGTTGTAATTTGCATTGAAGCTTAATTTGTATGTTTTTCAAAAATGAATTACCCGGTACTGTAAATTAATTGAATTTGCAATGAATCCAAAATAACCAAGCGGTTCCAAAAAGTCGCGCTGCAATGGGCTTGAAATTTCAGTCTCTTCAATTAAACTGTGCTCTTGTGGCTCCCCAAGCAAGCTTGGGTCAGGTCTCATACCACTTCAATGATTCCCATCACAACAATCGTCTTTTCTGTGCAGTTTTTGCCATCTCACTTGGACGATACCCACATGGACGATTATAACTAAAAATCGTCCATGCATCACGAATTCTATTAGAAATACTGTGTTTATTATATAAATATATGAAATAGATTAAGATGAATGAATTACAGGAATAAAATATGAATTATATTAGGATTAACAAATGAAATTAATTTAATAATAATTATTGTGATTATTTTTATTTTTATTGTTATTCTTGTGATATTTTAATTTTTATTAATTTAATGATCAAATGTTATTTATTTGTATTCAAGTATTTCATGTTTCCCTGTATGTATTCATATTTATGAAAAAATAAAGTATTTGTAGATCCTGTCAGTAAATCAGAGTTGACGAGCTTAATATTCACGTGATCTGTGGTCAGTCACTTGACGTCAGGTGACCTCATAATCGTGTCATGGATAAAACAGGTGGAAATAGCGAGGTCATTTAGTTAGACCACGAGTTTGGGAGGAAACAGTCAGTAATCTTTATAATAAAACATTCCTAATATATTTGATGTTTATTTTTGTTATTCCTGATACAATATATTTCATATTATAATCCTATAATAAACAGTATTTTCTAATAGAATTTGTGATGTATGGATAATTTTTCACTATAATCGTCCATGTGGGAATCCTTCAAAGAGGGGAGAAATTGTCTATCTGGGAATCACCTTAGTGGTATGTAATCTTGGGTCATGCTGCTATCATGTGAGAGCAGGTCACCAGCACAGGTGGAGGTCATGTGGCACTTCCACCTCATCATTTGAGATGCTTAGTGCCTTAAAGAAGATATTTTTTTAGTAGATTTATGGGATAATGTTGTTAATTGTGCTTGTGGAAATATAAATCTGAAAGATTTTGCAAGATATTGAGGAAGTAAAATTAATGCAATTTGTGATAAAACTGTACGTAAACTGTTATTGCATGTTACTAGAAGTTAGCGTTACTCTCTCTTGTTTATTACCTGTGAGGCATTCGTGTTGGATGCTAGAGTTCTTACTGGATTTATATATCGTACATAAGTTTTAATTCTAGTGTAATGTTGTTATTAATTTATTATTTATTTTATTATTACTGTATACAGTAGCCTCCCCATGAATGTACCACAGCTCAGGAGTATGTGAGGGCTCAGGTACAAGATGTGGCAATGCAGCGCCATAGTCAGGGCTGAATGAATGAGCATGAAACAAGTGAAGTTATCCCGTTTGCACTAAGATACAAACAATAAAGGATATAAACAGATAAACAAACCCTGTAATACGTGTTATGCAACATTGTTGTGTAGCCACAAATTGAGTGACTAGGATTGAACTACGGGGAACTGGCAAGCAGGTTCATCTACGGTTTCACGCCCATGACTATGGTGCTGCATTGTCGCATCTTGTAAATCTGCCCCCATACATACCTAGGCTGTGGTTTGTTCATGTGGAAGCAACTGTACATTTAAAAAAATATATATATTTGTTTGCACAGTGCACTATACCCTTGTTAATTCTGATTTCAGCTTAACTCGTATGGTTTGTCAAAAATTATTTAAACGGTTTGAATTCAGAATGAATCTAAAAAAAGAGCATGTCCGAAAAATCGATTATTATGATATTATGAAATAGATTAAGATGAATGATTTACAGTAATAGAATATGAATTATATTAAGATACATACTGTACAAAACTGCATTTGGTGCATTGCCAGGACAGGAGGTAGTAGGTGGCAGAGGAGGACGGAGGAGAGGACAACTCTCCTGTGCTCACCAGCCCGCGATCCCTTTTTCATGACAGTATGCAATTTCACCATAATTCCCATATTAATTAGGTTCATTTGATGCAAGGTTAATAAAACACCAAAAAATATTTAATTTTCCCCCCAAAAATCCTACATGAGCTATTGCGCCATAGTATATTCTCAGTCTCTTTTTTATAGAGCGGTAACAGTTGATCAGTCCCGCTGACCCACCCTCCCTAACAATTTTGCCAGTACTCACCATCTCTCGATCACCATTGTTGTTACTGCTCAAGAGGGTTGGTGCTTACCATGGGACCTGTGTTGAACACTTAGTAAATAATACTGTACATCTCCATATGCCTTGGTTTATTTACTGATCAGTTACCTTCGAGCAAAAGTAGCCAAATCAGCCATTATGTATCACTTAATTTTAAAATAGAAATTAGAAATTAAAATGTTACAAGACAATAATTTACAGTACTAGTGCTGTTAATGTATGTGCTGTTTAAGTGCCTTATCAAGTCACCTTGCCACCTGCCTCATCACCTTGTAGTGGTTACTCTCCCCTACAACATCCTAGCCGTATCCCATAGCAATGGAGTTCTGCTAAAGTCTAGTCGCCTAGAGTCGCGCCAAGTTTCTCTGACCAGTCTAGACATGGGGATGGGGGGTCGACACCGGCAACTTACTATCGTTCCACGTCCGCTGAATGTGTATATAAGCTCCTATTCTCGCCGAGTAGAGGCATTCAACCTGGAGGCCAACAACAGGCAACACCACCTCTACCGAAGCTCCTGCACAGCAACTTCCTAGCACTGCACTGTACTTACAATATATAAAGAAAATGCATTGTGAGTTTCTCTCCTACCTCATCCTGAGTGTGAGATAATTACTGGCCACATTCAGTACGCTACAATTGGTGACCCCTGGAGCTGTGAACACCACACTCACTCTCTCTGCTGCCGTGCCCCTGGAGCTGTGAACACTACACACTCTCTCTCTGCTGCCGTGCCCCTGGAGCAGTGAGGACCGCCCTGTCTACTACCATGGACGACAAATGGATCTCTCTACCAACCTTTAACCATAACATCGAGGACTGGTTAATTCATGTTGAGGCAGCCCTTACCGGATGAACAGCTAATGACGCGCAAATGTACGTCACCCTGCTCTGTTCCCTGCCTACGGAAATCGCCACGTGAGTCTCGGAGATCATTACCAACCCTCCAACTGACAACAAGTTTGGTGCCCTGCGGGATGCTCTGAAGACGCGTTACCAGCGGTCCCACACCAGTCTTCTCCAAACCCTAACATGTCTCTCCCTCGGCAACTCAACGCCTGCACATCTCTGGGACGAGATGTGTAGACTGAACTCCCAGCACAAGGACAAGCATCCCGACACTGTCCTGCGTTGGCTCCACGCACAGAAGCTTCCCACACAAGTTCGCATCGCCCTGTCCGCAGTAGATTACTCTATGACACCAGAACTCTACGCAACTTCAGCAGACAGAATATTCAACGAGTGCACTGCTGCACACCTTGCCACCACGGACAACCCAACGACCACACCAGTACTTACCTCCAAACTTGTAAACAGGGTCAGCACCCCGCAGCCGAACAATACCTCACAAGACATCAGGGACCTGTTGCAAACTTTGAACCGCAGGATGGACACCATTGAACAGCTCTGCTCCTCCAT